AAGCATACTTGTGAGCACCATGTGAATCTCAGCAGGTAGAGCAGCTGGAGTTAGAATTAAAACAAAAAAACAAAAAAACAAACAAAAAAAAAACAAAATGACCAACCAGTCAGCTTTTAAAAGAGAGACACAGAGAGAATGACAGAGAGAAAAGATTATAAACTCCCTCATGCCTCTTCCATTAGTCACATCCCCACGCCTGATGTCCGGGCAACTTTTTAGTTCAGGATTGAATCCTGGATCCATTTCACCAGCAAGAAGCAGGCTTCTGAGGCCAGAGGACCACCCAGGATGAACCAGATACGCTGCCCAGAGAAAATGCAGTCATGAGGGCAGTTTAGGACTTAAGCCAAGCTGAGTGCAATGAAAGTTAACTTTGGGGCCTTGTGGCTCAAAAACAAAGACTGCCTGGCTGTAGCAATGCTGGTGTGGATGATAAAGTTTGCCAGTAGCATCTGCTTAATTAAAAGCGACGAAGCCGCTCAATGTCATCAGCAATCTCCGAAAACAGCAGCTAACCACTCTAACTTCCCTTAACGCTGGGAGTAATTTCTGCCGAGTCACAAACGATCAGGAAGTTCTACAATAATAACAGCAAGGGAAAAATCTAATGGCTGCCTGACCAAGAATGTGGAACTGTGGCCCTCAACTCTACATTATGTAGCAATATTTCCATATTTACAGGGTATTATCAACAGTAATGCGCTAAGCACAATTGCAAGAATTATTGAAAGGGGGAAAAAGCAATACTGTACATCAGGGGGTCTTCACATGTGGCCCTTTGATGACTTGTGGACTTCAACTCCCAGAATTCCTCAGCCAGCCTCCATTTTGTTGGTTAGATTTAAGGCAGGGGTCTTCAAACTTGGCCCTTTGATGACTTGTGGGCTTCAACTCCCAGAATTCCTCAGCCAGCCTCCATTTTGTTGGTTAGATTTAAGGCAGGGGTCTTCACACGTGGTGCTTTCATGACTTGTGGACCTCAACTCCCAGAATTCCTCAGCCAGGCACGGGTGCCTGGCTGAGGAATTCTGGGAGTTGAAGTCCACGTCATAAAAGGGCCACGTGTGAAGACCCCCAATGTACATTATCCCCAGCAAAAAAGGTTTCTGAACTTCTCCTGGGGCTAATTTTACAGAATTAGGAGTTACAGAATCAGCTGATTGTCAAAAGTTTAAATAAATCAATATACCCCCTCTTCAACTCTGTGGTTCTAAAAAGGTTATTTCCCATATTCTGATTGTTTTTTTTAAAAATAAAATGGGTTATGAAACATTGTGCAGCTTGCTTAGTGATTTTTTTTCTTTTCTTTTCTTTTATCCCGTGACTGCTAATTTTGCTTTCACGTCCTTCCTCAAGGACTTTGTTAAAAGGTCCTTTGGAACTTCTAAAAAACAAAGTCACAGTGATCACGCCTCTGCACATATTTGTTGAGACTCCAAAGAACTGTAAAAGAACAGCAGGCAGAAATGACTTCGGCAACGTTAAAGTTTCCCCAACTCCACCTGGCAGGTTTTATTTACCTATCCTAGGGCAACACTTTCATTAGGGCGACTCCCAAGTTCACATAAATATGTGAGCCCTTGCAAATGTTTCCTCTCTCTCTCTCTCTCTCTCCCCCCCCCCCCCCCAGCCAGCTGCATGCTATAAAAAGCAGCCTTCAAGGGTAAAAGGTTGAATTTGCTGCCGAGGTCATGAAATTTGCAAAGTCAGGGTTGGATAATAAAATGGGATGAGAGTCAAGCTTGCAAATCGGGTTTCCCCATCAGCTGTGATATTTATGTTTCTTTTAGAAGAGATCCTACAAGGCCTTGGTAAGTCCACACTTGGAATACTGCATCCAGTTTTGGTCACCACAATGTAAAAAAAGATGTTGAGACTCTAGAAAGAGTACAGAGAAGAGCAACAAAGATGATTAGGGGACTGGAGGCTAAAACATACAAGGAACGGTTGCTGGAATTGAGTATGTCTAGTTTAATGAAGAGAAGGTCGAGGGGGGACATGATAGCCGTGTTCCAGTATATCAGGGGCTGCCCCAAAGAAGAGGGAGTCAAACTATTCTCCAAAGCACCTGAAGGCAGGACAAGAAGCAACGGATGGAAACTAATCAAGGAGAGAAGCAACCTAGAACTAAGGAGAAACTTCCTGACAGTTAGAACAATTAACCAGTGGAACCACCTGCCTCCAGAAGCGGTAAATGCTCCAACACTGGAAGTTTTTAAGAAGAGACTGGACAGCCATTTGTCTGAAATGGTATACGGTTTCCTGCCTGAGCAGGTGGTTGGATTAGATGACCTCCAAGGTCCCTTCCAACTTTATTATTATTAAAGAGAATAAGGCCCAAAGACTAGATCCATCCCTCACCTTTTTTAAGTTATTTGCCAGAAGAACTGCTTCATAGGCATTTTAATGAGATTCCCAACAGAATGTTTATCTGTTTATTAGATTTTTATCCCACCTTTATTTACTTTTTATAAGTAAAGGTGAACATATGTCATGGTTCCAACAGATGAAACTCTTCAAAAGAACTTCGAGACATTGTTTACTTTAAAGAATCTTTGAGTAGCATAACATCGGCACCAACATTGTTGTTGTTAGTTGCAAAGTCGTGTCCGACCCATTGCAACCCCATGGACAATGTTCCTCCAGGCCTTCCTGTCCTCTATTATCTTCTGAAGCCAAAATCTGAATTTCCCTCCCCTGAGCACATAGTATCAAAGCACAATTCCCTCCTCTAATTAACTGTCATAAATCACATTCTCCAATTAGTTTGAAATGCAGGCTTTCCCTCCAGTTCTCCAGCCCGCCAATTCTTATCATCTCTTATTTCAATAACCTTGGTTCACACACTAGGTTCAGTCATGTTATGTCTAGCGAAACTCCCATGCACATTCCTCCTCCTCCCTTCCCCCAGTATCTTCTAATTCAGTGTTTCTCAAACTTGACAATTTTAAGCCATGTGGACTTCAACTCCCAGAATTCCACAGCCAGCAATGCTGGCTGTGGAATTCTGGGAGTTGAAGTCCACATGCCTTAAAATTGTCAAGGTTGAGAAACACTGATCTAATTCTAACTCTAATTCTAAGAGTAAAACATAAGAAGGAAAATGGTTGCATCTCCATATGTTGTCAAAGCAAAAACATCCGATGTTAGCAGCATTGACAACATATGTAATACTCCTTGCTCTTCTTCTCTATAATAAGAAGTCTTACAGATGGTTTGGTCCAAAGTCACCCAGCCAGCTTTCATACCTAAAGCAGGACTAGAATTCACAATCTCCTGGCAATTGGTGGGTCAAGCTGGCTTTTGTGCCTAAGGCGGGGCTAGAACTCACTGTCTCCTGGCAATTAGCTCAAAGTCAACCCACTGGCTTTCATGCCTAAGGCAGGAATACAACTCACCATGTCCTTTGATTGGCCCAAACTCACCCAGATGGCTTTCATGCCTAAAATGGGACTAGAACTTATAATCTCTTGGTTAATTAGCCAGTACCCTAACCACTACACCAAACTGGCTTATTGATGTTTTATCAAAGCAATTTCCACCATCTTACCCAAAACACAAATAAAGATAACTCAACATGTAATTTCCTGAATTTCTCTATCTATTCCACTGTTTCTCAACCCTGGCAATGTTTAAGATATATGGACTTCAACTCCCAGAATTCCCCAGCCAACTCCAGCTGGCTGGAGAATTCTGGGAGTTGAAGTCCAGACATCTTAACATTGCCAAGGTTGAGAAACACTGATTCTATTCCCTAAAGTTCTTTTAAATAATTGTCCACATACTGGTTAGAAGAATGTAAAGTTTTTTTTAATAGCATTTGCACCGTAACATGACCAAAATCATACCATTTGTAACATTCTAGACCAGTGATTCTCAACCTGTGGGTCGGGACCCCATTTGGGGTCGAACAACCATTTCACGGGGGTCGCCAAACAATGCAGTCCGCCATTTTTTTCCCCTTTTCCTTAGCTGTGCTACTCCCTTTTATTCTATTGGCTTTTGAAAGCCAATAGAATAGACTCTCTTGAATAGAGTCTAATTCTATTGGCTTTCAAAAGCCAATAGGAACTGTCCAGGCTGTCTCTGCCCTGCTGAGCCCGCCGAAAGTCCCATTCTGCAAACGGTGCTGCACCAGTTGAGTAGTCCTCGACTTACGACTGGTTGAGTAGTCCTCGACTTACGACTGGTTGGGGGTCGCGGCATTAAAAAGGTTGAGAACCACTGTTCTAGAATTTTAACTTGTGTCACTATTTGCTTTAGCTCCTAGGACTCGCCAGGAAATATCAGATTGATTGACTTAGCGTAGCACTATTTAGCATTAAATATTTAAGTTGCCTAATCCTAAATCTATTAAGATAAATTATTCCATTAATTCTTTTTGGATATGAGGAATGTGTTTCTTAAAATCTTCCTTTCAATCTCCGTATTGGCCGTTTGCATTTTTTTCTAATGTGCAGTTTTTGCTCTGATTCTTTACTTGCCTTAATTTTTCCACTTTCTGGAGAAAATACCTTTGCTAATAGCTTCATTAACATATAGTCACTAACCATGCCAAGCAAAAACACATGAATTTTAGATCCTGCCCGGACATACTTCCATAGCAATCAATCTTTGATAAAGGCAGTTTCCTTTTCACTGACTGGCAATTAAAGCATGAAGCCAATTACGCTCTATAATCATAGTTAAAGGTCACTATTTATGTAACACAGAATTTACAAATACATTATGCAATTGCAGTAAATTGCAGTTATGCAATTCAGCCAAGTGCTGGTGTCAGGGACAGTGTAGTTAGTAGTTACAGCGTTAGGACTAGCATAGGACTCTGCTTTTATCCACATTCTTTTAAGGACTTTGGGCAGGACCTATTCCACAGGGTGCCTCTTTTGGGGGTAACGTGAAGAATGATCCGCAACTGCCTTGAGCTTCCGGAATAACAGCGGAATATAGCACTAATGAATAAATGCGATTTTTAAAAAGCAGTCATTGCTACTTACCTTGTATTTATCTGGCCGGAACTTGATCCCATCTTGACCTCCACTTTGATTCAGGCTATTTCTCTCCCTGATATTTCTATATCCAGGACTGGGTATCACGTACTCTTTTCCTAGATCGATATCTTTCATCTTTTTCTGTAAACGCCAGGGTTAACAAATGTGTATGCCACTCGGAAAACTCTGGGGAAAACAAAAGAGAAAAAAAGAAATAATACATGAGAACATCTGCTGCTCTCTATCTCTTCTTTCTTAACGGATGTCCTAAATGGGGTTGGATTACAGTTTTGTAACCTGATTCCCAAATATGGTCTGCCTACTACTGTTCTTCCATTAGTCCCGGCAGAAGGAGTGTTATATCAGATGGATTCCTGTAACCGTGACCTCAGATAATCCCAACAGGAGAAGAAACAGATCCTTAGTCCTAAACTTTGCAAGAGAAATAAATAATAATAAATAATAAACCCTTTATTATCGAAGTATAACATGTATACAGTGAAATTGGCTGAGCCTCCCTCTGTGCCCCCCAACACAAACTCACCACAAACTCAACAGCCTTAAAGTACACAACAGGCAGCAAATCCTCTACAAATAGCAATCTATGTATTTGACAGGGACAGAGATGAACAAGAATGTGTATTCAGGCGAGTATTGAAGTTTAGGGGGAAAAAAAAAGAATCTCATTGCATTAAAAAAATGGAGCTGTATACAGCCTTTGGGAGGGGAAGAAAAATAACAGTATTGGAAGGGACCTTGGAGGTCTTCTAGTCCAACCCCCTGCTCAACCAGGAGACCCTATATCAGTGTTTCTCAACCTTGACAATTTTAAGGCATGTGGACTTCAACTCCCAGAATTCCACAGCCAGCAATGCTGGCTGTGGAATTCTGGGAGTTGAAGTCCACATGCCTTAAAATTGTCAAGGTTGAGAAACACTGCCCTATATCATTCCAGACAAATAGCTGTCCAGTTTCTTCTGAAAATCTCCAGTAATGGAGCATCCTGGAAGCAAGCTGTTCCACTCGTTTATCATTCTCACTGTCAGGAAATTTCTCCATAGTTCTAGGTTGCTTCTCTCCTTGATTCATTTCCATCCCTTGCTTCTTGCCCTGCCTTCAGGTGCTTTGAGGAATAGGTGGACCCCCATCTTCTTTGTGGCAGCCCCTCAGATATTGGAACACTGCTATCATGTCACCCCTAGAGTACTTCTGATCACTAGACCAGACGTACCGAATTGCTGCAATTTTTGGAAGGAGTAATTTTGTTAAGCAAAACTATCCATACAGCTGGGCTACTTAGAATTTTTCATTCGGCTAAATGGACAAGGGGCTCTTGTAAGCAACACAGGTGTTAGCCGTAAATGCCCAAATTGTCAAAAATAAAATAAAATGCTGCGCTGCTCCAAAAAGTTGAGGACCACTGCACTGTCTTTATTCTTGTTGCATGAAGTGACAGAGCTTTACATAATGATCCATCAGGCCCATTTCATTTACTCTGAACCAATTACAAGTACCTCAGGCGCATCTTTTTCTACGTGACGAACAATCACAGGGAGCTCATCGTGTTAAACGCAGTCTGTCTCTGGATTGTGTAGAGCTAATAGAGAACATTAAAGTCAATAAGGGCTCCCTAGCGTCACCGTTGTTTTTTTCCCTCCTGTGTTCCCTTTATCTTTCTTTTTTCTTTCTTTTCCTTACGCCAAATCACCTGCCTTGTGTCTTCTAAGTCCCCTGTTGTATTGTATTGTATTGTATTATGTTTTATGCCTCACTACCACAGAAGCAGAGGAAAAATACTCTAGGGCTGCATGAGTCAGCAAAATCCTGTCACCATGATGACAGAGTTCCTCTTTCTGCAAATAACAAAACAAGCCTTGCAAATGTTTTAAATCACTTGTTTTAAAACAGTTAGGGAAAGCCATTATCCCAAGATGCCAGCTACCACCGCTAAAGCCCACTTCGCTGCAAATAATAATAATAATAATGATGATGATGATGATAAAGTTGGAAGGACCTTGGAGGTCATCTAATCCAACCCCCTGCTCAGGCAGGAAACCCTACACCATTTCGGACAAATGGCTGTCCAGTCTCTTCTTAAAAACTTCCAGGGTTGGAGCATTCACCGCTTCTGGAGGCAGGTGGTTCCACTGGTTAATTGTTCTAACTGTCAGGAAGTTTCTCCTTAGTTCTAGGTTGCTTCTCTCCTTGATTAGCTTCCATCCGTTGCTTCTTGTCCTGCCTTCAGGTGCTTTGGAAAATAGCTTGACTCCCTCTTCTTTGGGGCAGCCCCTGAGATACTGGAGCACTGCTATCATGTCCCCCCTCGTCCTTCTCTTCGTTAAACTAGACATACCCAATTGAATGAAGTCATTCTGTATGCTTCACACCACAGGGGTTTGTTTATGTGTTCCCCTCCCCGTGACACAAGATGCCTTGCTTATAATAAAGGCTTGGCATCAAGCAGAAAGGCCTCAGCGAGGCACCTCCTGCCCGCCTGCTGCTTCATTCATTCCCTTGTTTGCAGCACCCTCTATAGGGCCCATCGGTAATCGGCGCCTGGCAATTCCTGTCTCCATGCATCCTTTTCCGGATCTGGGAGAGGAGAAGAGGTAGTCCATCATCTCAGACCCTCCAAGCAATAGGCGAGATTCACCTATTGCTCACCTGTTTCCAGGTAGCCTTTGCAGTAACGGGGAGAAACAACCAGTAAACCAAGGGGGGGGGGGGCTTTCCAACCTATCAATCTGCTCTTCCACCCTTGTTTTTAGATATATATTTTTTCCACCTCCTTCCAGGCATACTTTAACTATGCATTCTACCTCTTTGGCAGATTTTCACACATTTCCACGCAAAGGGAATCAGACAGGCTCCTCCGCCCACCAAAATGCCTCTTGATGTGCTACTCTGGGGGAGATGGGTGGTTAAGAAGTGAGACAGACAGACAGACAGGGATAGATAGATAGATAGATAGATAGATAGATAGATAGATAGATAGATAGATAGATAGATAATGGATAGACCGAGATGGATAGACAGATAGAGATGGGGAGATGGATAGAGGGTTAGAGAGAGAGAGAGAGAGAGAGAGAGATGGATAGATGGATAGAGATATACAGTGGTGGAATTCAAATATGTGAACAACCGCTTCTCTGTGTGGATGCTGCTTCCAGAAGTCCATTCTGGGCCTGGGCAACAAAAAATTAGCTACCGGTTCTACTGAACTGGTGCGAACTGGCTGAATCCCACCCCTGGAGATATAGATGGATAGAAGGATAGAGAGATAGAGATAGATGGATAGGATAGATAGAGATTAGATGATAGAAGGATGGAGAGATAGAGAAAGATGATAGAAGGATAGATAGAGAGATGGGATAGAGATAGATGGATAGAAGGATGGAGAGATAGAGATAGATGATAGAAAGATAGAGACAGATGGATAGGATAGAGATAGATGGATAGAAGGATGGAGAGATAGAGATAGATGATAGAAGGATAGAGAGAGAGAGAGATGGATAGGATGGAGAGATAGAGATAGATGATAGAAGGATAGAGAGATAGAGAGATAGTATAGAGATAGATGGATAGAAGGATGGAGAGATATAGATAGATGATAGAAAGATAGAGATAGGTGGATAGGATAGAGATAGATGGATAGAAGGAGAGATAGAGATAGATGATAGAAGGATAGAGAGAGAGATGGATGGATAGGATGGAGAGATAGAGATAGATGATAGAAGGACAGAGAGATAGAGATAGATGGATAGAAGGATGGAGAGATATAGATAGATGATAGAAAGATAGAGATAGGTGGATAGGATAGAGATAGATGGATAGAAGGATGGAGAGATAGATGATAGAAGGATAGAGAGACCGAGATAGATGGATAGAAGGACGGAGAGATAGAGATAGATGATAGGAGAGACCGAGATAGATGGATAGAAGGATGGAGAGATAGAGATAGAAGGATAGATAGAGATAGATGGATAGGATACATATAGATGGATAGAAGGATATAGATGGTTAGAAGAATAGAGAGATATACAGAGATGTAGAGACGGAGATGATAGCTAGATATGGAGGAGAGAGAGATGATAGATAGATAGGTGGAGGGTGGGGGGTAATCTATTGTGCAGAGGTGGGAACTGGATCTTCATCCTTTCAAGGCAGCGTCCCAGCACCGGCTGCCTCTCTTCCGCCCCCCGCCCACCCCCAAGGGGCTCCCAGGCCCTTTGGCCAGGCCTTCCCAGCAGGCTTGCAGCGGACTCCTGGCCCCAAGCCTTCCCAGAGGGAAGCGGGACCCGAAAGGACGGGGAAAGCGCCATCACCCGGAGGGGGGGGGGGCAGTGCAAGAAAGGGCCGGCTATCGGGAAGGGAGGCTGCGGCTGGCTCAGCCCCGGAGAGACGGTAGCCTGGGACCGGGGTGTGTGTGTGTGTGAGCCAGTGCACATATACACAACACACACACACACAACACACAGAGGCCGTTCTCCGCTGCAAAGCACCCTCCTCTTCCCCATTCAGGCCTCCCCTTCCCTGCCCGGTTCTTTGCAAGGGGGACGGGGGAGGGGGACTCGCCCTGAAAAGCTCCAGGGCCAGCAGAGGCTCCCCACCCCACCCCACCCCAGGGGGCGACGGCTCCCCCTCCCCATCTTCAACAAAGGCGGCTGCGGAGGATGGGCGCTGGAGTCCAAAACCCCTGGAAGGTGGTGTTGGGGGGGGAAGCCAGTGAAAGCGCCCTTCTCGGTCACAGATCCCCCTCCTCCTCCTCCTCCCTTAGCCCCCCCCCACCCCCGTTAGCCCCTCCGGGAGGAAACCGAACGCCCCCTCCCCAGTGAGGATTCCCCCTCTTTCCCGACCCTGCGCTGGCTTCACCGCGGTCCGCGGGGTCCCCCCTCCCGCCCGAGGCGCGCAAGCTCCCCTCGCCCCCCCCCCTTTACCTGCTCGAGCGGCCGCGATCCAGCTCGGCGGCGGCGGCGGCGACGGAGGAGGATGAGGAAGCAGCAGCCGGGCGAGAAAGACCTTCAAGCGGCTCCTCTGTCGCAACCCGTCGCAGTGCGCCTGCGCGGGGGCATCCTGGGCGAGCACAACAGCTCGCCGCCTCTCCGCCTCTCGCTGGACGCTCCGGTAGTCCGCGCCTCCTTCGAGGGTCTTGGCCACGCCCGGGGGAGAACTACCTCTCCCAGAAGGCCATCGGCGCAGCCGGCTTATTTCCATACGCCCCGCCCTCCTCATCGTCCCTGCCGGCTCTGCCCCGCTTCGTGAGTCACCTTTGTGGTGGGTCCCTCTGACCTGGCACCCACGCCGGGTGTGGGGGGGAACAGGCAGGACAAGAAGCAACGGGTAGAAACTAATCAAGGAGAGAAGCAAGCTAGAACTAAGGAGAAACTTCCTGACAGTGAGAACGATTAACCAGTGGAACTACCTGCCTCCAGAAGCGGTAAATGCTCCAACACTGGAAGTTTTTAAGAAGAGACTGGACAGCCATTTGTCAGAAACGGTATAGGGCAGGGGTAGGCAACCTTAGCTCTTTTATGACTCGTGGACTTCAACTCCCAGAATTCCTGAGCCAGCCATGCTGCTGGGGAAAGCGAGAGGTTTCCAAGCTGAGCCATGCTTCCTTAGGAATTCTGGGAGTTGAAGTCCACGAGTCATAAAAGAGCCAAGGTTGCCTACCCCTGGTATAGGGTTTCCTGCCTGAGCAGGGGGTTGGACTTGATGACCTCCAAGGTCCCTTCCAACATTATTATTATTATTACTATAGGTCCGTGGTGGCGAACCTATGGCACGCGTGCCACAGGTGGTACGCAGAGCCCTCTGTGTGGGCGCACACGCTGTTGCTCCAGTCCTAGGCCTTCAGCTAGATTTATAAAACCTTTTCGCTTTAGGCTTCTGCCGCCGTGTGCAAAAAAAAAAAAGGTTCAATCAATTAATTTCAACCTCGCAGGAAAAAAAAGACCTCGCAAAGTTGGAATTGATTGAACTTTTTAGTCCCACCCAGTCTGCCATTACCACTGCAGCCATGCCCACCCAATGGGCCATGTCCGCCCAATGGGCCGTGCCCGCCCAATGGGCCACGCCCACCCAATGGGCCATGCCCACTTGGCACCTGATGATACGTAAGTGGGTTTTGGGTTGCGATTTGGGCCCTGGGTCTCTAAAAGGTTCGCCATCACTGCTATAGGTAGTCCTAGTGACAGATTTTATCTTCCTGGGCTCCAAGATCACCGCAGAGGGGACTGCAGCCAAGAAATTAAAAGATGCTTGCTCCTGGGGAGGAAAGCTATGGCAAATCTAGACAGCATACTAAAAAGCAGAGACCCTGCCAACAAAAGTACATATAGTCAAGGCCTTGGTTTTCCCAGTTGCAATGGATGGCTGTGAAAGTTGGACCATAAGAAAGGCTGAGCGACAAAGAATTGAGGCCTTTGAACTATGGTGCTGGAGAAGTGAAGATTCTTAGTCATCGAGGTAGAATTATGTAAAAGTTGAGTCATGACAAATGGACTTATTTTCTAGTTGGTTTTGGACATTTTGCTGCCCATCCAAGCGGCTTCTTCTTGGATGGCCAGTGAAACATCTCAGCCAACTCGACTTCCAGACAATTCTACCTGGATGACTTGAGAATCGTCATCAAGATTTCTTTGATTTTTCTACTGTTACTACTGTTAAGAAATTAAAAGATGCTCCTGGGGAGGAAAGCTATGGCAAATCTAGACAGCATACTAAAAAGCAGAGACATCGCCCTGCCAACAAAAGCGTGTATAGTCAAGGCCATGGTTTTCCCAGTTGCAATGTATGGCTGTGAAAGTTGGACCATAAGAAAGGCTGAGCGCCAAAGAATGGAGGCCTTTGAACTATGGTGCTGGGGAAGACTCCTGCGAGTTCCTTGGACTGCAAGGCGTTCAAATCAGTCAGTCCTAGAGGAGATCAGCCCAAGTGGTCTTTAGAAGGCCAGATCCTGAAGTTCAAACTCAAGTACTTTGGCCACCTAATGAGAAGAAAGGACTCACTGGAGAAGAGCCTGATGCTGGGAAAGATGGAGGGCAACAGAAGAAGGGGACGACAGAGAACGAGGTGGCTGGATGAAGTCTCTGAAGCAGTAGGTGTGAGCTTAAATGGACTCCAGAAGATGGTAGAGGACAAGAAGGCCTGGAGGAACGTTGTCCATGGTGTCGCGATGGGTCGGACACGACTTCACAAGTAACGACAACATAGGTAGTCCTTGAGTTACAACGGTTCATTTAGTGACCGTTTTTTTTTATTATTGTTATTATTAGTCATTAATTTATAACAGTGGCTCCCAACCTTTTCTTTACCCCGCGCCCCCTAGAATGCTTCTGATATGTTCTTGCACCCTTTGCAAAAGTTTGAAACAATGGCCACGAGTTATACATATACACTATAATTTAGAAAACCCACGTTTTCGCACCCCCTGGAATATTGTCTTGCACACCCGGCTTGGAACCCCTGATTTATAATATAAAATGTGAAAATACAAAAGCAAATAATAGGGAAACACGGTAGAAAAAGGGAAAACAAAAAAGGTGTGAAGAAAGGGAGGGGAAGAAACAAAAGTAGCAATCACTAGCCATTTCTGTATCGGCAAATCAGTCTCGTGAGTAAAACCCAAAATCATAGTATCATTTTTTTCCCCACCTCAAGCACAAAGTCCAGAAGCGGTTTCCAAGTAGAAACAAAAGGACTTACTATGATTTATTATTGGGTTTGACTACTAGTCTAAAGAAAAGAAGAAATAGGGGAGACATGATAGCAGTGTTCCAGTATCTGAGGGGCTGCCACAAGGAAAAGGGGGTCAACTTATTCTCCAAAGCACCAGAGGGAAGGACAAGAAACAATGGTTGGGAACTGATCAAAGAGAGAAGCAACCTGGAATTAAGGAGAAACTTCCTGACAGTGAGGACAGTTAACCAGTGGAACAGCTTTCCACCAGAAATCGTGGGCGTTCCATCACTGGAGATTTTTAAGAAGAGACTGGACATTCACCTGTCTGAGATGGTATAGGTTCTCCTGCTTGAGTAGGGGGCTGGACTAGAAGACCTTCAAGGTTCTATTCTATTCTATTCTATTCTATTCTATTCTATTCTATTCTATGTTCTTTTATCAGCACAGTCAATTTGACCATCTCTACTAATTCCATCAGCTTTTGTCACCATTTGTCCGTGTTGGGAATCAAGGCATCTTCCGCTTTTGTGCCTAGAGCAGACATGTCAAACACAAGGCCCGGGGGCCGGATGTGGTCCGCGAAATGGTTTCATGTGGCCCGCAAAGCCATCCTGGAAACAGTGAGAGAACGCCCCTCTCTGTCTTGGCCCTGGCCCAGGCCGGCCAGGAGCCAATGTACAATTTTGTGGTAGCCATCTATGCTGAAACCCATTCAGTCTTAGCTCCACAAGGCCATCTAGAAAGGGAGAGGAAAGAGAAAGAGAGGGGGAGAGAGAGGAAAGAGAGAGGGGGGAAGCGCAATTGCCTGTCTCTCTCTCTCTCTCTCTCTCTCTCTCTCTCTCTCACCACACACACACACAATACACACACAAACTGAGTTGGGGAAGAGGACTGGCAGACCAAGGGCAGAAAGAGAGAGAGGGAGAGGGAGGGAGGGAGAGAGAGAGAGACAGAGAGAGACAAAGAGACCCTTTTGACATCTAAAATGAAGATAACACTGCATATATCCTTTTTTACCTTTATGATACACCCTTCAGGGATTCGAACCTGGGCAGCTTGCATGTTAGGCAGCTGTATTAACCTTTTGAGCCTCAGCTGATGAGGCCAAATGAGCCTGAAATAGCTATATTAGTCTCCCACTAACTCTTTGTCAGCCACAAAATTTTGAATTTATAGTGTTCACAGTGTGTGAGGTCTCCCTGCAAAACATGCTCCTAGATTGGAGCGATAAGGCAGAACAGACTGATCTATATTTGGTAGACCGGGTGCCTCACCCAACAGATAAGATATATATCCTGCCTGGTTTCGTTTTGCGGCTCCCAGTGTTTTGTTTTCGGTGGGAAACAGGTCCAAGTGGCTCTTTTGAGTGTTTTGGGTTGCCTAACCCTGGACTAGAAGGCCTCCAAGGTCCCTTCCAACTGGGTTGTTCTTTTATCAATGCTGTGCCTATTTCTTATGGGCAGAGTGTCAGTTGTATGCTTGTGACCATCGCTTTGATTGTTTTGTCCATTCCCCATAGACCAGGGGTCTTCGAACTTGGCCCTTTTATGACTTGTGGACTTCAACTCCCAGAATTCCTCAGCCAGGCATGCTGGCTGAGGAATTCTGGGAGTTGAAGTCCACAAGTCATAAAAGGGCCAAGTTTGAAGACCCCTGCCATAGACCAAGGGTGCCCGTGCTGGCTCGGGAATTCTGGGAGTTGAAGTCCAGTAGTCTTAAAGTTGCCACACCCCTGCTGTAGACACTTCCAGCTTTGTTGAATTGAGAATCCTTCTAAAGAAAAAATACAACATCATTCCCATACTTCTGAAAGACCCTTGATTATTCCCTGGGAGTAACACAGCTATTACTCATGTTGCGTGGATTTTGAAAAGCAAATAAGAAAATGCTCTAGATTTTATCAAACATTATTGGCTCCTGCTGTTCATTTTCCCTCTTTGTGCTTAATTCCTTTCTCAGTTAAGAGGATTAGAAATAAATAAGTAACTTTGCTATTTGGATACTGCATTTTAGATGTGCACAAAGAAAAACTCTGAGGCAATTGGAGATCTCAGTTTTGGAATATAGCAGCTGGTACAATAAATGTAGTTTCTTGACCTTTATCCCATTTGATTATTGCAGTGTTAAACCAACAGGTTTGATCTGGTTGCTGTAAGCCTATCTTGCAAAATAAAGTGAACTCATAAACTCATCAATCTAGGTCCATTACCTTGTGCCATTTATTGAACAACACACACACACACACACACAATTAGTGAGGCTAACTTTATCCAAGGTTGTGGGAACGCTATTATTTTACTGGATCAAATGAATTGTAGCAGGTACTGTTGTAGCGTTTAGTGACTTCCCGTGGACTCCCATGTTTTATAAACTGACATAGAATCAAAATCACCTGAAGTATTAGTACTGCTTTATAAAGACTTAGTAAGGCCACACCTGGAA